CCCCCCACCCCCCCCCCCAGCCACAGGCAGGGAAGGGGCCCAGGCTCTGTGCTCTTCCCTCCACTGGGGCCACAACAACTGGGTTTTCTGGCACTACTGGCTGGCTGCAGCTGGTGCCTGCAGGGCAGGGAGTGAGCAGGATGCAGCCCTGGCAGCTGCGGGGGGCAGGGGCTGTAGGTGGGGAGTGAGGAACACTGGCAGGGATAGGGGCTACATGTCAGAGGGGACACTGGTGAGGAGGGGGAGGGGGCAGCTGGGAGTGAAGGGCATGGGTAGGGCTGGTGGGACAGGGAATTGTGGGTTGGGAGTGACAGGGCACCAGCAGGACTGGGGGCTGTGGCTTGGGAGTGAGGGGCAACGGCACGGGCAGGGCACTGCCATATCAGGGTTGCTCAGCGCCACAAAAGAGCAGAGGGGAATATCCACAGCTGGACCTGCATCCTGATGAGTGAAGGAAGCAGAGGAAACTGATTTTTTATGATAAAAATACCAAAATCAAATGCCAAAATATATAGGTATTTAGAATTTATTTTATTAATGATTAAGGCACTGGTAGGTTTCCAAATTGCTTTAAAATTGTAAATATCTCAATAAAACATTGTGTTCAACTGATACCTATATAGTGGTATTTCATTTTAATTGTGGAAAAACATGGATGGGGGGGGGGTTTAATTAGCAAATTTTGGATTTTTTAACAAAGAAAACCAAGATCCATGTGATCAGTGACTCGAGTCACACAGTAAGGGATACAGACTGGGGACTGACTGAATAAGGAGCACCTCTGCAGGAAAGGACCTTGGGGTTACAATGGGCAATAGGCTGAACATGAGCCAGCAGCGTGCCCTTGTTGTCAAGAAAGCTAAAGGCATACTGGGCTGCATTAGTAGGAGCATTGCAGCAGATCAAGGGAAGTGATTCTTTCCCTCTATTCAGCACTGGTGAGGCCATATTTGGAGTACAGGCAGTCAACACAATTGGTTCTTGCAAACCCTGTCTTACATCCAAATTTTGTAACTTAGAACCAATTTTCTCATAAGAAACAATGTTATAAATGGGGGATTGGTTCCTAAACCAAGGCCCAATACCCTATTTTCACCAAAAATACCCCAGAATTTTGTACTCATTCAATTATAGATGAGTAATATAGCTACATTAATGTATGTATATTGTAAATAGCAATCATATTCATTTGGAAGGACTTCTCTGAAGTGACTTTGCTGGACTTTTTGAAAGGCTCTTGGCTGGACTTTTTGAAGGGTTCTTGGCTGGAGTCTTCTCAGGAGTCTTGGTTGCGGGTTTTTCTGGAGTTTTGTCCGGTTTCTTAAAGAAAGTGTCCAAGGAAGTTTGGCCAGATGTTCTCCAGGGAGATGAGTGATGCAGTGAACTTGTTCACTGGCATGGCGTCGCATTGGATCAAGTGTTGTAAAGTCGAAACTGGTGCTGTAAAGTTGAAACAGGGTGTCTATTTATGTTGTAAGTGTGAAACATTGTAGTTCAAAACGTTGTTAGTAGAGGACTGCCTGTACTGTGTTCTGTTTTGGAACCCTCACTACAGAAAATACGTGGAATAATTGGCAACAAAAATGGTTAATGGGCTGGGGGACATGACTTATGAAGAGAGGCTAAGGGAACTGAATTTACTTAATCTGTAGAGGAGAAGACTGAGATGGATTTTAATAGCAGCCTTCAACTACCTGAAGGTTGGTTCCAAAGAGAATGGAGCTAGACCAGGAGTGGGCAAAATGGTGGATCCAGGTGGCCAGACTCCAGCACAAAGGCTAAGAGGAGGTGCATGTCCCTGCCTTAAAGCCCAAGCTCTTTGGCTCAGAGGAGGTAGGTGACCCAGCCCTGTCCCACTGGGTTGGTGGTGGAAGGGTTAGGTTACCCAGCATTCCTTGCTGCCCACTTCATAAGGCACCTGCCCTACCAGTGACTTTTTCAGTCTCAGCACAAAGCTGAGTGGTATGAGGGGCAGCCTCTAAAGCAAGGGTGGGCAAAGTCCAGTTCATGGGCTGGATCTGCATGGCAGTGGATTCCATTTCCCAGGAGCCCCTGCCCAAGTGGCTGGGGCCAGTTTCCACGGAGACCCCAGCAGTAGCCCTGCAGGCCTGGGGTTTCCTTGGAGACCAGCCCCAGCAGCCTGGGCAGGGCGCACAGCAAGGCAGGGACCATGCTGGGATCTTGCAGCAGTGACAGTGTGGTCCAGAGCCAGGGCACAGCTGTGATCTGCAGCCTGCGTGCTCCAGGCAGAGGCATGCAAGCAGCAAATCACAGCTTTGCTGCAGCTCCAGACCATGCTATCACCACTGCAAGAAGGCAAGGCAGAGCCACGATCCACTGTCTGCACGCCCCTGCCCGGAGCATGCAGGCAACAGACTGCAGCTCTGCCATGGCTCTGGACCATGGCATCACTGCTGCAAGATCCCAGCCTGGCCCTGGAGCAGCTCCCAGCCTGGCTGGTCTCCATGGAAACCCCAACCCCAGACTATCACAGCCAGGCTGCTGCTGGAGTTTCCATGGAAACTGGCCCCAGCCATGCAGGCAGGGTCTGCTGGGAAATGGAGTCTACTGCCAGCCAGATTTCGCCTGCGACCCAAATTTTGCCTGCCCCCGAGCTAGAATGTTTTCAGCGGTGGCAGATGACAGAACAAGGAGCAATGGTGTCAAGTTGCAGCAAGGGAAACTGAGGTTAGATATTAGGACAAACTCTCACCAGGAGGGTAGTAAAATGATGGAACAGGCTACTCAGAGAGGTGGCAGAATCTCCATCCTTAGAGGTTTTCAAGACCTGAGTAGAGAAAGCCTTGGCTGGGATGATCTAGTTGGGGCTCGTCTCACTTGGAGCAGGGGTTGGACTAGATGTGACCTCCGGAGGTCCCTTCCCACCCGCATTTCCTCTGCTTCTAACTACAGCTACTAACGTTTATTAGAATAAGCACAATGGGGCAAGCAAGGGAGGGTCTCGCTGTCGTCCCTTGGCTGGCTTTACATCAGCTTGTGCTAGCAAAGAACCTCTCCCTCTCTCTCCATTTCCACCTTGCGCCTTTCAATTTTGCACAGCCTTGTACCTGAAAAAAAAATCTCACACATTTGTCTTGCCTTTCCCATATGCCAAGGAAAATTCCTTTCCCAAGTCGCTCGACATTTCCCTAGAATAACGTCTCATAGGCCAGGCAGGTGCCATTCCTCCCATCCTTCCTTCTAGAGTAGATTTGGGGGGGGAGGGGGCGATCCTCCTTTTATTTTTGGATTATTTATTTTAGTTTAACACATCAATGGACTTTCTCTAGTCCCTTGTTGAATCTGGCTATGCTATCTGCTCCACCACCTCTTGTGGCAATGAGTTCCACAAGTTGATGCACTGTAGATACATACAGGACTTTCTCTCGCTGGTTTCCTGTCTCCTGCTCAAAGATGGAGGTTCCTGGCTAAGTAGTCTTGTCGCATTGCTCAGTCAGACCAATTGCTGTATTTGAGGTCAGGAAGGAATTTTACCCCATCATCAGATTGGTACGGATTAAGGGGCGGGGGCGGGGAATTGCCTTCCTTTGAAGCAGGGGCCGTGGCCCTCTACCTGGCACCCTGGTTAAGAGTCACTCGTGTAGTCCCTTGTTGACCACAGCAATGCTGTATGCCTCTGCCACCTCCTGCGGCCATGAGTCCCAGAAATTAACCCCGTGCAGTGCCTCTTGTTTGTTGGAAAACCGTCTTTTTCTTGCAACCTGGGACTTGGTGAACAACAGCACCCTGTTTGTCATCATAGTTTGTCATAACTAAAATATATAATTGTAACAGCATTCAAATTATACTTACCTGAAGGGATAAGAAGGGCTGCCCTGCACAGGGACGGTGTGAAGAGACATAGTTTGCCTCAGCCCTCGCCGCATAAAATGGCGGCCGAACGCAACAAGATGGCGCCGCTCGCTGCGGGCAATGCGCACAACATGGCGGCCGGCGTTGGGACTTCCGCTACCGCAGGCCACGCCCCCCCTGACGCCAGAGCCGTTACCAGCGTGATTACGCCATCCGCTCGGCGCCTGCGCGGTGGGGCGGCGCGCGTTTTTTTGAACAGGGAAGCACCAGCTGATCGGGTGAGGCTGAGTTTTTGCTGCTGCAGCGGAGCATGTGAGTTGGGCTCGGGGCCGGGGCCGATCAGCTGTGGCGGGCAGGGGGGAGAGTGCGAGTGCCGCGAGCTAAACGTGGTTGGGGGGGGGCAGTGATATTTCACTCACTGTCCGGCAAGACCTCCATGCTGATTGGCCGGGAGGCGGGAATATGCTGAGAGTTCCCTGCTGGTTGGCTGGCAGGTGGCTAGTGGCCGAGGCGCTCTTGCTGCGGGTCCCGCCCGACCCTTTGCTTGTGCTTGTGGCAGGGCCGTATTTCCTTGTGTATCTGTGCACTAGTGCAGGTTCCAGCTACGGGATTGGGGTAAGAAGGTGTGTCTGCAAGGAAATACGGTACTGGAGGGGGCGCCCTTAAATTTTGAAATACCGTGGGGAGGGGAGGGTACATGTCACTAAATTGGGAGAAGCTGCAAGGAAATACGATAGTGGGGGCCATGTTTCCTTACATATCTGCACGCTGCAATTTCTAGACACTGGATTGGGGGGCGGGGGGTGATGTGTTTGCAAGGAAGTAGTGTAGCTGGGGGTTGCTTTGGGGAGGAGGGCAAGTTGCCCTTGTAGGTGAGGTCTGTGGAGTTTCACTGGGGCAGCTGGAGGTCACTGATTCATTAAAAAAACCCTTTCTCTTTTTTTCCATTCCACCCCCTCACCTCCCAGCAAAGATGAAGAGCTCAACACCCCAGTCCGCCGGCTGCTCCCTGAGCACCGCCTCATCCTTCGATAGCGTGTTTGTGTCCCCCAGCACCCGGCCCCAGGCCCTGAGTGCCGGCAGCACCCCTGAGCTGGAGAGCTTGGCCGGCAACGATGATGAGCAGGAGAAGAAGCAACGTCGGCGCTCCCGCATCCTTGATCTGCAGCTCAGCAGCACCGAGTCGCCCCTTTTGGTCAAGTCCCCTGCCAACAGGTAAGAGGGCTGTTGCGGGGCTCCACCCATGGGGTGAGGGCAGACACGATCCGAGGTTAAAGAGGCAGGGAAGAGATAATGGAGGGATATGATCCGGGTTTGGATGGGGGGGTAATGACAGACCTGATCTTGAGTTACGGCGGGGGAAGACGGATGAACAGACACAATATGGGGTTAAGGGGTGGGAATGATGGGGAGACATGTTGGTGGTTAAAGGGGGGGGATGGGACAGAAATGAGCAGGGTTAAAGGGGGGCAGGGTGGACAGACAGACATGATCTGGGATGAAGGAGGAGGAGCAGGGGTGGGGGTGGGCAGACAGATGTGATATGGGTTTAAGGGGATGGGCTGACAAGCATGATTCAGGAGTTAAGGGGTGGGGTGACCATAACTATTTTAGGAAAATCTGGGATGGGGAGGTGTGCGGGCTGGGGCCAAGACATGCTGGGGAGCACAGTGCCTTTTCTCATCAGAGCTGGGGCTGCGCTGTCAGCTGGGCTTGGTGGCACTGCAGGGGCTATGTCTGACTCATGGCTCTGTCCCAGCACCTACAGCTGCATCCTGGCCATGAGCCCCTGGGTTGGGCAGGCACAGCCAGCCTTGGCCTTACACCCATCTGCCTGGTTAGCTTCTGTGACAAAGGCACCATGTTCCCCAGCACATCCCAACAGCTACTCTGGCCCTATGTACTGCCATACACCTGTGCATGTGCACTCTGCCCCACAGCTCCCAGGAGCGAGGCCAGGCAGGACAGTTTGGGACATGTGGCCAACCTATACAGGGGGCACAAACCTAATGATGGGGCTTCTTGGTTGGGGGAGATGATCTGTACCTCAGGCTGGGTTAGTGGGGTGCCTGCTATTTATCTCCTCCCTGAGGCCCTAGGCCCTCCAGAAATTCTGGGCCAAAGCTGGCCCAGGAACGGCAAGTTAGATGCCCCTATCACACGACACTTCCCTGTGGTGTTCTCTGGAGGTGCCCAGTGCTGAGCTCTCTAAAGCAGAGGTTCTCGTCTTCCTTCAGGCAGGCAGACGCTTCTCTGCCGGTGATCCCAAGACTGACAAACGCTCAGATTTCAGATCACTACTCAACCTGCATTAAGCTGTCTGCAGAGAATGTGAGTTCAAAGCTGTGGCTTGAGGCAGCTTTAAAGATGGCCAGCTTCTTATTCCTCGGGCTGGGAGCATTTAAAATGGATTCGTTTTAGGCAGGCACCAACGGGAGTTCTGGGATTTCTTCCTGGATTGCTGTTGGGAGTGGGCGCAGAAGCGTCTGTGTTGTGGATTATGAGCAGTTCTGGGCTGGAACAGTCTCCCCGTCCCTAGGATGATGGGATCCTGCTCTGGGATAACTGGGGCAAGGAAATACCATCTTTTCTCTTAGACAAGGCTTGCCTTTTTTTTTCTCCCCAAAATTGGCCCCCTCCCCCAAATTGGGATGTGTATATTAAGCAGGATGGCTGACTTTTTTGCCTGGTATAGTAACACCCTGCTTTTGATTCTTGCATTACTATTTGGGCACCTGTGGTGGTCCATTGACTTAATGGCTCATTTGCTTTTCACTCCAGAGAGGATAACTCATTTCTCCTTCATAGTCATGATGTTCCACTAATTGAGCTAATCTTTCTTAGGGCAGTCTTGCTGTCTACTGCCTGCTTCGGGTCTCTCGCCTATTTCACAGCTTTGGAGACCCTTTAGCTCTCTTCAACCATAGATCCACCTATGGAGACCAGTATTCAGCAGCAGCTAGACTTTCAGCTTCAAGTAAGCAGAAAAGGGCATGAGAATCAGCTGAAGATCAGCCTCTGTCTGTGCTCTGTGCAGCTATGACTCAGGGGGAGAAAAATCTTTTTTTTTTTTCCCCCCCTCCCCCCTTCATTTTGCTTATCAAAAACAAAGGGTGTGTTATTCCAGGGTGTATAAGAGAAAACAAGGCATTTACTTTCAGCTCCTTGATAGAAACTGACTAGTATTAGAATAAAATTCCTTGAGAAACATCTTAATTAAATGATTCCCCACCTGCTGTAGACTTTGAATTATGCCATTTTTCCAGAAATAAAAGCTCCTGCTTTGCTCTGTTTCAGAAAATCACCACAAAAAATGCCTTTGGCTTGCATCTTATTGACTACATGACGGAGATCCTCAAGCAGAAGGACTCAGAACTCACTAACTTCAAGGTGAGCGGTCCTGTACTGTCTGATCCCTTCAGTGCCCTGTTGCCTCTGGTATCTGCTTGAGGAGATGAGCTCAAATATATCCAGGGCAAAGGAAAGGTAACAAGACTCTGTACGAACTCTGCAGTCCAGAGCTGGTAGATATTGGAGAGGACCTTTCTCCTGCTGTTGAAGTAGTAACTCCAGCTATAGGAGGAATTAAGATCCATGGAAATTACTTAACATCCCCAAAGCATTTCCGTGGGCTGGGGCTGGCTCATGAATAGCTCAGGAGAAGCGTACTTGGGTGATTCAGACTCAAAGGTAAAGAATAACCCATGAAATGCTTACTCATGTGATGCTGAAAACACGGGTTCTAGTTGGTGGCCACTCGAAAGCCTTAGGATCACTGGAAAGTCGGGCTGGAAGGGACATCACAAGGGCTTTTAGTCCAGCCCCTGCTCAAGGAAAACTTAAACTATCCTAGGCAAGTCTCTGTCCAACCAGCTCTCAAACATTTCCAGAGATAGAGGTCCCTTCCCCTCTCTGGGCAGCCTGTCCCAATGCTGGGTCACTGTCAGTTAGGAAGGTTCTCCTCATCTCCAACCTCAGTGTTTTCTGCTGCAGCTTAAGGCTGTTGTTTTTAGTTCTTTCCTCTATGGCCACAAAGGGAAGCCAGTTTTTTTATTCTCTCTGTCATCAGCTGCCTTTCAAGTATTTGAAGATGGAAGTTCCCTTTTGGTCTTCTCTTCTAGACAATCCCAATTATTTCAGTATTTTCTTCGCTTTCTGCTCCTCTCCTCCTGTCAGACTTGGGTATAAAGCAAATGCATTGCAGCACCTCGGGTTCACAGCTCCCATTTCTACTGTAGCTGACAGCTTATCCCAGTAAGGCAAGACCCTTCCTAGCTGTCCATCCTACATCCTTCATGTTCCCTGACCATCTCCTTTCCGTTACACAGATGGCAGCTGGCACCCTGGATGCTAGCGCGAAGATTTATGCCGTCCGTGTGGATGCTGTTCATGCTGATGTCTACAAGGTCCTTGGTGGGCTGGGCAAAGATTCCCAATCTACAAGAGAAGAGGATGGTCAAGACTTGGGTATGCTGGCTCTGTTCAGAGGAGAGGGATCTGGTTCTTGAGCTCAGTGACTGCCACAGAATGAATGCCGCTTCATTCTAGGCAATGTCCAAGAACAGTCTGTGGCTTCATTCTTGTATGAAACAGGAAGCAGTGTTCACTAGTGAGTGAACAAGATGGGAAGAGATGTGCAGGATGCAATAGATGACCAGTAGGTTGGGCCTTCCTAGATGATCATTTGTTTTAAAGCAACACAACATGTATCCAAATGAAATGGATTAGCTGTGCAGGATTTTGTCCTTTTAGCGGGTGAATTGCATCACCCATTATCTTGCTCATTGATACTTCAGGACACAAGGTGACCTGTTCCTTTGGTGCTTGATAGGCCCAGTCCTGTGCACCCTGGGAATTTCTATGCTGGATCACTTACTGAGAAATACCTCCTGGGATCTCCAGGGTGGGTCTTGCTAAGCAGGGAAAGTTCAGGTTTCTCTGCTCACTGAGATGCACCCTGGAAATCCTGGGGTCACATCTCTGTAAGCAGGGAAGGCCGGGCCAGCACTCGGGGCTTCAGGGGTCTGATCCTGGGCAGGATCGGGCCCCTCAAGTCCCCAGAGCACCTGCCCAGGGCAGCTGGAGAGCATGGGCAGCTCTAGGCTGCCAGCGCTCTCATGCCATAAAGTAAGAGACATCCACTGCAAAGTAGCAGCACAGATTGATACTCCCTTCATTGCAGCTCTGGCTTCGGGGCATTTGTGGTGTGACAAGGGACACGTACTTTCTGCTTGGTCTTTGTGCCACCATAACAATTTTCATGATGGCACAAAGGACATCTGTTTCTGCTTCTAGAATTACTGTAATATAGTTTTAGTTGTTTTTTCTCCAAAGCACCTGAACCTGCAATAGGTTTGCAACAAGTCCCTAGGGCAGGGTGTTGAATAACTAAACCAAGCTTCCATGGTTGAGGCTTGGGGGAATGGAAAGCAAGCCTGTGAGAGAGGAGGGTCCACATGTGACAGCCTGTGACTGAATCACACTGAGCTGAAGCCTTCTGTTAGCACCTCTGTCAACTCCAGAGCAGCTTAGCTACCCCCCACCTCAGTAGCCTTGTGTTTCTAGATGGAACTGCCACCCTGGAAGCCAGGAAGAAAGCTCCCACCAAGAACAAGCACTTCTACAAAACCATCGAGCAGAACCCAAATAACCTCAACGTCCCGGAGACTGATTGCAAATGTGAGGTGGGTACGGTGGTTCCAAAGGGCTTGGCCGCTGTGTTGATCTGTCCTGCTCCTTGGCTCCACTGGGCCTGTTTCTTAAGATGGTGGCTTTGACCTTCATGCATGATCCTGTTGCAATCACAGCAAGCTTTTCCTTTTTGCTCTTCTCCATTCTGTACTGCCCAGTCAGGGTGGATTTCCCAAGCTCTGCCTTAGCTCAAAGACAATCCAGCCACAAGCATGATACTCCTTTCAGATTCATGCTTGAGGTTTCTCTGCCCCTATCTCACCCCACTGTTCCTCCCTCCCCCCACCTTCCACATACAGGTTGACCCCATGCTCCAGAAATCAGCAGCCTCCTTTGATGAGTGTAGCACGGTTGGCATCTTCCTCAGCACACTACACATCCACAGCTACTGCAGTGAGCTCCTGTTTGAATCCAAGGTTACACCTCTCTCATCTTCAGAGATGACGCTCGAGTCCCCAAGCACTGCACCTGTAAAGGTGGCCGATGTTAACTGTAAGTGCACATGATGCCATATTTGTCTCTTGCAGCATGCGCCTCTCGAATATGACCCACACCTTGTTTTGGGAAAGCAGAATGAAGGAAAGTTGCAGCCAAAAGCTGAACGCAGACCAGCTTGCATGCCCTCAGCTAGCTCGCTGGCTGCTTTGGGGTAAACCTCTTGGCACCATTGCAGCTACTGCTGAATTTTTACTGCAACTTTTGGTGGCACAACCAATTCATCAGTGGCTCTGAGAGGGTTAACTGAACTCTACCCCTGCCAGAGAGGAGAGCCCTGGATGGCCATTCCAGGATCTCCATGCTTCTATTCCAGTGTAGAAATTGGATTTCCCACTTCAGAAAACACACCTCAGTTTTGTCGAGCTTAGTGTTTTGGAGAGGAAAAATGCATGTGATAGTGTGAGCTCTGGCATCATGCAAGCTCAGCTTTCCTTCCAAGCTCAGCAATAAACGCTTCTGCTCATTATCTCCCAACACAATGGGCACTTGACAACTGTTCAAGTTTCAGTGCCAGCCACCTTGCTTGGATTATCTGGCTGTGGTTTCTTTGGGCTGTTATTCAGGCATTGCTCAGTATAATCAGTCTCCAGGCCCATGTCTTAGATCCCTGGCTAGCCACAGAGTTTGTCCTGTCCAGGGATCCTGGTTTTCTGACTTTTTAAAAATTAAATTGCAAATTCTCTGCTTTTCTTATTTTGTTTTTAAGTGAAAGGCCACTATATATAGGTATCAGTTGAACACAATGTTCTCTTGATACATTTACAATTTTTTAAAGCAATTTTGAAGCCTACCAGTACTTCAATCACTAATATAAATTCTAAATACCTACAGGTCTTGGTATTTGAATTTTGGATTTTTTATCATGGAAAATCAGAGCTCCTCTGGCCCCCTTAGCTCACAGAATACAGGTACGGGCCCCCAGTGTCAGGGTTATGGGGCCAGGGAACCAGGTCCACAGCCCCCTGCCATCCTGCAGCATCACCCAAATCCCAGCTGCCACCTGCGGGAGCATAGCTGCTGCAGCAGAGCATAGAGCCTGCCTGCTGTGGGCTCGGGCACTGGGGACAGGGCAGGGAGGGGGCAGCTCCCTGCTGCTGCATGCACACCCAGCGGGGGCAGGGGGGACCATGACCCCTAGATCTGTGCAGGGTGGGGGCAGGCTGCCTTCTGTGGGTTCGGGTTTCCCGCCCTGCTGCCCTTCCCCAGGGCCTCTGAAGCCCTGCAGGTGTGACTGGCACTGCAGGGTAAAGTGGGGCTGTGCAGGGAAGCTCCTTGCCTTTGTGAGCTCTGTGCTGCCCTTGTGAGACGTCCCCTGCCCACGTAGCAGGAGCAATGGCGGCAGCGTGAGGTTGTGTCCCTTACTGCTGGCGTGTGGGCAGGGGATGCCTCGCCAATGCATGCAGCAGCCTGGAAGCTGTCCCCACCCTTCCTCATCCACTGGACAAGCTACCTGTAGCCCTGTCCTGCTCCTTGCCAGGGCTCTGCAGCTGCGCATTCTAGCCCCAGGTCCCAAGCCCTACACGCCTCCTGGCTGGGCAGTAGTCCCAGTCCTGCCTAGCTCCTCCCTATGGGGGCCTCAATTCCTCCCTCCCCCACCTGTGGGAGCTGCTTTCCAGGCTGCCCCTGCCTGGCCGCCCTCTGCCCTTCTGTAGAAAGCTATTTGCAAAAGTGCAAAATCCGCAGGTTTCTGTTTTTAAAATAAAAAATCCGTGTCTTCCTCTGCAGGGTGGGGAAATCTGTGTTTTCTCCAAGTAGCACAACAGTTGTTACGCTGTGTGCTTCAACTTGGTGGGTGACCAAGGTTAGAATGCTCTGTAGAACTGTGGATACACCAAGAGTAGTGATGAAGTTTTTGGCGGGGGTTTTGTTTGGGTTGTTTTGTTTTTTTTTGGTTATTTTTGGCATTCCCTCTCCAGTACCCAAGCTTCTGGGTATTGGGATGAAGCAAACAGTTCTGGTAACAGCTAATTTTTAGCTCTGTACACTCTGCCTCCTAGCGCTCCTGCTG